GGGCAGTTTTGGGGCAGTTTGGGGGAGTTTGGGGTGGTTTGGAGAGGATTTGTTCTTCCTGTATTTCTGCTCTCCATGTCCTTTGTCCCCAGTGTCCCCAATGTCCCCTGCTCTCACTGCTGTATGCAGTCCCAGTGTCGCCAGTGTCCCCGATCCCCCTGCTGTCCCTGATGTCCCCTGCTGTCCCCAACGTCCGGTGTCCCCAATGCCCCAGTGTCCCTGCTGTTCCCCGCTGTCCCCCGATGTCCCTGCTGTCCCCAACGCCCCAGTGGTGTCCTGGTGTCCCCGTGTCCCCAATGCCCCGGCGTCCCTGCTGTCCCTGCTGTCCCCAACACCCCGGTGTCCCCGTGTCCCCCCTGTCCCTGCTGTCCCCAACGCCCCAGTGGTGTCCTGGTGTCCCCGTGTCCCCAGGCCCTGGAGCGGGCCGGTGTTCCCTGCTGTCCCCGTGTCCTGCTGTCCCTGCTGTCCCCGTGTCCCCAACACCCGTGTCCCCGTGTCCCCAACGCACCAAAGAAGGGGAGCCCCAATGTCCCCCCAGTGTCCTCCCAGTGTCCCCCCAATGTCCCCCCAGTGTCCCCCCAGTGCCACCCTGGGGACGGCAGCCCCCAAAACTCGGGGGGTTCCCTTGGGATTTTTGGGGTTTTTTTGGGGTCATTCCCGGGGTTTTTGGGGTCCCCGATTTTGGGGTGCAGCCACCAAAGAAGGGGAGCCCCAATGTCCCCCCAGTGTCCCCCCAATGTCCCCTCAGTGCCATCCTGGACAGCCCCCAAAACTCGGGGGTTCCCTTTGGGATTTTGGGGATTTTTGGGGTTTTTTGGGGCTGTTCTTGGGGTTTTTGGGATCCCCCTGATTTTGGGGTTCCCCTCTGATAACGGGGTGCAGCCACCAAAGAAGGGGAGCCCCAATGTCCCCCCAGTGCCACCCTGGGGACGACAGCCCCCAAAACTCGGGGGTTCCCTTTGGGATTTTGGGGATTTTTGGGTTTTTTTCGGGGCTGTTCCTGGGGTTTTTGGGGTTCCCCTGATTTTGGGGTGTCCCTCTGATTATGGGGTGCAGCCACCAAAGAAGGGGAGCCCCAATGTCCCCCCAGTGTCCCCTCAGTGTCCCCCCAGTGCCACCCTGGGGACAGCAGCCCCCAAAACTCGGGGGTGCCCTTTGGGATTTCGGGGATTTTTGGGTTTTTTCGGGGCCGTTCCCGGCGTTTTGGGGGTCCCCCTGATTTGGGGGTCCCCCTCGGTTTTCGGGGCGCAGCTGCTGAAGAAGATGAGCTCCAGTGACACCCCGCTGGGCACGGTGGCGCTGCTGCAGGAGAAGCAGCGCGCGCAGAAGACGCCGTACATCGTGCTGAGCGGCTCCGGCAAGAGCATGAACGCGTGAGCGCCGCACTGGGAGCACTGGGAGCACTGGGAGCACTGGGATGGGACTGGGAGCACTGGGGGGGAACTGGGGGGGACTGGGGTTGCTTGGGAAGAGGGTGGAGCAGATGGGGAGGGGATTGGGGGGGACTCAAAGGGGACTGGGGGGGATGCAGGGAACTGGGATGGACTGGGATGAGCTGGGAGGGACTCAAAGGGCACTGGGAGGGACTGGGGGGGACTGGGAGCACTGGGAGGGGACTGGGAGCACTGGGACGCTGACCCCGCCTCCCTTTTCCTTCCAGGAACACCATCACCAAGTGAGGGACACCTGGGGACACCTTGGGGACATCGCCAGACACCCTGGGGACACCCTGGGACTCCTCAGGACACCCCTGGAACCCTGGGGTCACCCTGGGGACACCCCTGGGGACATTCCTGTGACATTCCTGGAACCCTGGGGACACCCCTGTCCCCTCCCCGCCCCTGGGGACAATAAAAGCCTCCGGGAGTCACTTTGTGTCACCGCGTGTCACTGGGGGGGAGGGGACACCCAGAGCCACCCCAGTGCCACCAGCGTCCTTTATTGGGGACCGGCCCCGCCCCGCCCCGTGTCCCTGTCCCTGTCCCCAGTGTCCCTGTCCCTGTCCCCAGTGTCCCTGTCCCCACTGTCCCTGTCCCCAGTGTCCTCTGGCTGCGGGGCCTCGGTCCCCATTTTGTCACTCGTGTCCCCTGTGTGTCCCTGGCTGCCGTGCTCCGAGCTGTCCCCAGTGTCCCCTTCGCTGTCCTTGGTGTCCTCCTTGTCCTCGTTGTCCCCATCAGTGTCCCCGGTGTCCTCCTCGTCGTCCCCTTGGCTGTCCTTGGTGTCCTCGTTGTCCTCCTCGTTGTCCTCCTCACTGTCCCCGTCGCTGTCCCCGGTGTCCCCATCGCTGTCCCCAGAGCTGTCCCCGGTGTCCCCAGGGGTCCCCCCCCGGTTGGTGTTCCGGCCCCGCCCCGCCCCGTGTCACTGTCACTGTCCCCAGTGTCCCTGTCCCTGTCCCCAGTGTCCTCTGGCTGCGGGGCCTCGGTCCCCATTTTGTCACTCGTGTCCCCTGTGTGTCCCCGGCTGCCGTGCTCCGAGCTGTCCCCAGTGTCCCCGTCGCTGTCCTTGGTGTCCTCCTTGTCCTCGTTGTCCCCATCAGTGTCCCCAGTGTCCCCGTCGCTGTCCTTGGTGTCCTCCTTGTCCTCGTTGTCCCCATCAGTGTCCCCAGTGTCCCCGTCGCTGTCCTTGGTGTCCTCCTTGTCCTCGTTGTCCCCATCAGTGTCCCCGGTGTCCTCCTCGTCGTCCCCTTGGCTGTCCTTGGTGTCCTCGTTGTCCTCCTCGTTGTCCTCCTCACTGTCCCCGTCGCTGTCCTTGGTGTCCTCCTTGTCCTCGTTGTCCCCATCAGTGTCCCCAGTGTCCTCCTCGTCGTCCCCATCGCTGTCCTTTGTGTCCTCGTTGTCCCCGGTGTCCTCCTCGCTGTCCCCATCGCTGTCCCCGTCGCTGTCCCCGGTGTCCCCATCGCTGTCCCCAGAGCTGTCCCCGGTGTCCCCAGGGGTCCCCCCCCGGTTGGTGTTGACAAAGAGCCCCTGGTCCTCGCTGGGGGTCACACGGGGGGGTCACGGTGTCCCCAAAGGGTGGCACCATGTCCCCAAAGTGTCCCCAAAGGGCCACCAAGTCCCCAAAGTGTGACACCATGTCCCCAAAGGGCCACCATGTCCACAGAGGGTGACACCGTGTCCCCAAAGTGTGACACTGTGTCCCCAAAGTGTCCCCAAAGTGTCCCCAAAGTGCCATCGTGTCCCCAAAGTGTGACACATGTCCCCAAAGGGCCATCGTGTCCCCAAAGGGTGACACGTGTCCCCAAAGTGTCCCCAAAGGGCCACCGTGTCCCCAGAGGGTGGCACCATGTCCCCAAAGTGCCATCATGTCCCCAAATTGTGGCACCGTGTCCCCAAAGTGTGACACATGTCCCCAAATTGTGACACTGTGTCCCCAAAGTGCCACCATGTCCCCAAGTGTCCCCCTGACCCCTTTAACCCCCCCCATTCTGAGCCCCCTCCCCATTATTGTCCCCATTAATGACCCCAATTAACCCCCTTAATTATCACCCCCAATGAACCCTCCCATTATCACCTCCAATTAACCTCCCCCAATTATCAACCCCAATTAAAGTCCCATTATTGTCTTCACTAATAAACCCCAATTAACACCAATTATCGCCCCCCCAATTAACATTTCTATTAACCCAAATTAATTAAGACTCCATTATTACCTCCATTTAACATCTCCATTATCCCAAGTTAATTAAGATCCCATCATTAGCCCAAATTAACAGGTCCGTTACCCCAAATTAATTAAGATCCCATTATTGCTCCCCAATTAATTCCCATTATTGCCCCCCAATTAACATCTCCATTATTCTCAATTAATTAAGATCTCATTATTACCCCTTAATTAATGCCCATTACCATCCCCCAATTAACGCCACCTCCCTGCCCCCGATTATCAAATTAAAATTAAATTAAAGCAAATCCCAATTAACCCGAATTCACCCCCCCATTAGCACCCCCCAGTTAATTAACCGCCCCTAATTAACTCACCCCTCCCGGGGGTTTTTCCTCTCCAGGGGCGCGAAGGCCTCGGGCCTGGGGGGGAGGGGCCGTCAGGGGGATTTGGGGGCAATTTTGGGGCATTTTGGGGTTTTTTGGGGGATTTTGGGGGTGGTTTGGGGGATTTTGGGGTGGTTTGGGGGTATTTTTTAGAAATTTGGGGGTGTTTTGGGGGAAGTTTGGGGTTTTTTGGGGTTTCATTTGGGTATTTTGGGATATTTTTTGTATTTTGGGGTTGTGTTTTGGGGAACTTGAGGGTATTTTATGGGTTATTTTGGGGTGGTTTGGGCTATTTAGGGTTTTTGGGGGTCTATTTTGGGGTATTTTCAGGGTGCTCTGGCGTATTTTGGGGTTTTGGGGCGGCATTTTTGGGTAATTTTTGGTGTTTAGGTGTTTTTCAGGGGGTATTTTTTTGTATTTTGTGGTATTTTTGGATTTTAAAGGATACCTTGGGGTATTTTTGGGTGTTTAGATGATTTTTTTTTTGTAATTTGGGGTGTTTTTAGGTATTTGGGGGTATTTTGGGGGTGTTTCAGGGGTATTTTGGGGTTTTGGGGAATATTTTTAGGTATTTTGGGGTTTGGGGAGGGTATTTTGGGGCAATTTGGGGGTATTTTGGGGTTTGGGGAGGGTATTTTGGGGCAATTTGGGGGTATTTTGGGGTTTGGGGGGTATTTAGAGTTTGGGGGGTATTTTGGGGGTAATTTTGGGCTATTTTTGGGTTTTTTAGGGTTTTGGGGTGGTATGTGGGGGTATTTTCGTGTTTTGGGGAGGGTATTTTGGGCTATTTTAGGGTTTTGGGGGGGTATTTTCAGGTTTTGGGGGTATTTTCGGGTTGGGGTGTGTACTTTGGGGTATTTTTGGGTTTTGGGTGTCTCACCCTGACCACGCTCTGTCCCCCGCTATCCCCCGGTGTCCCCGCTGTCCCGGATGTCCCCACAGTGTCCCCAGTGTCCCCAATGTCCCCGCTGTCCCCTGTCTCACCCTGACCACGCTCTGTCCCTCCGCGGGCCGCACGCGCTCCTCCAGCAGCTCCCGCACCACGTGCTTCCGCTTAGTGGCGCGCGACATGGCGGGGCTGGGGGACACGGGGGGGGCGCTCAGGGACCCCCGGGCCGGGGGGGGCTCCGGGACCCCCCCGGGACCCCCCGGACCCCGCCCCCACCGCGCCCCGCGCGCTCACCTGCGGCGGCACTTCCGGGTAGAGCGGCGGCGGAGGCGACGTCACTTCCGGAAAGAAAGGAAGCGATGAGGCCACGCCCCCAAGAAGGCGGGGTCGCGAACAAACACCGCCCACAAAGGGGCGGGGTTAACCGGAGCCGAAGTGGGCGTGGCCTGAAGGAAGCCGCGCTCGTGGGAAATGAATGGCCGCGTTTGGGGGCGGGGCCAGGACAGGGGGCGGGACTTTCGTCTGCATAATGAGCGCGGGTATGCAAATGAGGAGCTGGATCACGAAGAGGCTCATGCAAATGAGCTGAGATTCCCGTGTGATGTAAATGAGCGCTGGTTTGGGGCGGTGCCATGCAAATGAGCGTGAATACGTGCAGAACATGTGGGCGGAGCTATGCAAACGAGGACCTGCGGTTTGGCGGGAAGCGGTGTGGGCGGGGCCATGCTAATGAGCAGGTCTAGCGGATCCTGTGACGTCACTCCAACAGCGCTCACGTCACCACCCCCTCCGCCGCCGTGACGTCACCACGCTCTCCATTACCTCCAATACCTGCGCGAGCCCCGCCCCGTTCACCTCGTGACGTCAGCGCGCGCGCGCGGCGCCGCGCTCTCTGATTGGCTGCGCCGCGCTCGGTGGCGGCCGGGCCAAGATGAGATTTGGGATGGAGCCGTGAGGGGAACGAGGGGCAGATCTGAGGAGTGGGTGGAAAACTGGGGACGCTCGGGGTCACCTGAGGGGACTTGGGGGAGATCTGAGGGGTAGGAGGGGAAATTTGGGAGGTTTTGGGGTCGTCTGAGGGCAAGAGGGGGCATTTGGGGATTTTGGGGTCACCTGAGGGGATTTGGGATGGAGCCGTGAGGGGATTTGGGATGGAGCCGTGAGGGGATTTGGGATGGAGCCGTGAGGGGAACGAGGGGCAGATTTGAGGAGTGGGTGGAAAACTGGGGAGGCTTGGGGTCACCTGAGGGGACTTGGGGGAGATCTGAGAGGTAGGAGAGAAAATTTGGGGTTTTTTTGGGTCGCTTGAAGGGAGATCTGAGGAGAAGTGTGAAAATTTGGGGGTTTCAGGGATCACCTGCGGGGAGATCTGCAGGGTAGGATGGAAATTTGGGGGTTTTGGGGTCACCTGCAGCATGGGGTGGAAATTTGGGGGTTTCTCGGGGCTTTTGGCGTCGTTTGAGGGGAGATCTGAGGGGAAAGGGGGAAATTTGGGAGGTTTTGGGGTCACCTGGGGGAGTTTGGGGAAGATCTGAGGGGTAGGAGGCGAAATTTGGGAGGTTTTGGGGTCGTCTGAGGGCAAGAGGGGGCATTTGGGGATTTTGGGGTCACCTGAGGGGATTTGGGGGATTTTTGGCATTCCCTGGGGAGATTTGTGAGTCCTGAGTGGAGTTTTGGGGACCCTTGGGAGGGAATTTTTGGGGTGCTGAGGGGTTTTGATGGTCTGTGGAGGAGCAGAAGATTTTGGGGGGTTCTGGGGCAGAATTTGGGGGTCCCTGACCCCCCTTTTTCCCCCCAGGGACCCGTGAGGAGCTGCTGGAGCGGCTCCAGGCCTACACGCTGCAGGTGAGACCCCCAAAATGGGGGACCCCAAATTCTGCCCCGTCCTTGAGTCCCTTTGAGGAGGGAGAATTCATTTGGGGGGGGGTTAATGCTATTTTGCAGGGGGTTTATTGTGATTCTGAGGGGTTAAATGTGATTTTTGGAGAGATTAATGGGAATTTTAGAGATTTAACGTGATATTGGAGGAGTTTAATGGGGTTTTGAGGGATTTAATGGGGTTTTCAGGGTGTGAATGGGATTTTGGGGGATGGAATGTGATTTTGGGGGCAGTTTAATGGGATTTTGTGGGATTTAATGGGATTTTTGGGGGATTCAGTGGGATTTGGGGGTGGTAATGTGGTTTGGGGGGAGATTAATGTGATTTTGGGAGGGCTTAAAGGAATTTTGGGATGGTTTAATGGGATTTTGGGGGGATTTAGTGGGATTTGGGGGTGTTAGTGTGATTTTTGGGGTGTTGAATTTGATTTTTGGGGGGTTTAATGTGACTTTAGGGGGGGGTTATTCCACTTTTTGGGGGGTGGGAGGGCTCCTGCTGCCCCCACCCTCCCTGAGGGGGGTCCCCATGTCCCCTCGGAGCAGGGGGGGCTCACAGGGACCCCTCCCCAATTTGTGCCCCCCCAGACTGGGATCGTGCTGAGCCGCCCCGCCCTGCGCCCCGAGGAGGGGGACAAGGCCCCGCCCCCCCAGGTGGGATTTTGGGGGGTCTGGGGGGGGGGTTGGGTCACTCCAGGGACCCCCAATTGGGGCAACATCCCTGGGTCATTTTGGGGGGGTTTAGGGTGTTTGAAAGCTCTAAATTTTGGGGTGGGGGCGTCAATGACACCCTGATTTGGGGTGAGGGAATAAACCTTCCAGAGCCCAAATCTGGGGTGTTTAAAGTGTTAAATTTTGGGGTGGGGGCATCAATGATGCCCTGATTTGGGGTGGGCGGGACTAAAACCTTCCAGAACCCAAATCTGGGGTGCTTGGGATGTCGGGTGGGGGCATCAATGACACCCTGATTTTGGGGTTGGGGGGGGTAAAATTCTCCAGACCCCCCCAAACTTGGTGTGGGCAGAGCATTAAATTTCGGGGGGGGGGCTCAGGAGTTTCCAACCCCTCCCACCCCTGACCCCTGGGGGATGGAATTTCGGGGTGGGGGCGTCCCGGGCGCCCCCCCTGACCCTGGTGCCCCCCCAGCTGCCCCCAGCGCTGCCCCTGCAGCACCCCCTGGTGCCCCCCCCTCCCCCGCCGGGGCTGGGGCTGGGCTTCGGGCTGGGGGGGCCCGTGGGGGGGGTCCCGGTGCCGCCCCCCCCCGCGGGGCTCTCCGAGGAGGAGCGGCTGACGCTGGCCCAGCAGCAGGCGGCCCTGCTGCTGCAGGAGGAGCGGGCGCAGGTACGGGGGCATTCGGGGTGGGGGGCACCCTTGGGGGGCATGGCCGCGGGGGGGGCTTGGTGGTGTTTTGGGGGTTAGAGCAGCCCTGCTGCTGCAGGAGGAGCGCGCTCAGGTCTGGGGGGGCATTTTGGGGTGGGGGGCTCAGGGCTGTGGGATTTGGGGGTGTTTAGAGGGGCCCAGGGCCGTGTTGGAGGGGATGGGGCCCCCTTGAGGGGGACTGAGCTGAGGAGCTGAGCTGAGGGCTGGTTTTGGGGTGGGATTTGGGGGCGTTGAGGGGTTGGTGACCCCTTTTGTGGGCACCCTTGGGTGCTGGGGGGTCCTGACTGTGCTCCCCCCGCCAGGGCCAGCACCCGTTTGGGGACAAGGCCAAGGAGCAGGAGCTGCTGGAGCAGCAGAAACGGGTGAGGGGGCACCCCGGGGTTTGGGGGGCACCCTGGGGCTTTGGGGGGCAGCCAGGGCTGGGGGACACCCCTGGGTTCTGATTTCTGGGGGGGGTCTCTGTGATTTCTGAGCACTCCTAGGGGTCTCCCTGATTTGGGGTGGGGTCCTGGGGGTCTCCCTGATTTGGGGGGGGTCTCCTTCATTTGAGGAGGGTCCCGGGGGTCCCGCTGACCCCCCCTCGTGCCCCCCCAGACCGAGGACTCCGGGGTGGGCCCCAAGATCCCGCAGGCGCTGGAGAAGATCCTGCAGCTCAAGGAGAGCCGCCAGGAGGAGCTGGTGACAGTGCCGGGGGTCTCGGGTGAGCCCTGCCCCCCAGTGCCACCCCCCGTGTCCCCTGCCACCCCCCCAGTGTCCC